AGTATAAGACAAGAGAAAACAGAGAAACACAGAGAGGTAATGAGACAATAATGATAGCATGATGGGTAGTGGCCTCAACTTATTAGCATGCTAAGCACTGTGAAGTTTCTTGTAGGCCCTGCAGCAAAGAATTTTGAAGAAGAGTAACAAGTTAGCTCTGCTGAAGTTTACAGGGATCAACTATGATTATAATTTAAAATATTGTGTTTTTCAAGGAATGTACCTGTCAGGTTTGTAGATTCTGAATCACATATAAAAACAAGTAGTAGTCCTGGGGCACCTTAAAGACTAACAAAAATATATATAATATCATGAGCTTTTATAGGCAAAATCCACTTCTTCCAGGCAGGCTGCAGCAGCTCCCCATGGTGCGGAGGTCCTGGCCTTGCCAGAGCGGCCCTCCACCCGCAGGATCCCATTTAAGTGGATTTTGCCCATGAATGCTCATGATACTAGAGACTAACAAATATATATAAGATGTCACTGGACTACTTGGTTTTTTTTTTAAGTTACAGACTAACACAACTATCACTCTGAAACGTATAAAAATAGTATTGTAAATTATTCCCCCCTGTCTTGAACCTTTAACTCCAGGTCTCTTGAAGCTAGGACAGGAATAAACATGCTAGACAGCAAAGATCACCACAAAAAACAAGTTTTGCTATGAAACACTTTGAAACAAAAGTTTAATTAGTTTTATGTTTAAAATATGGACAGGGCTTGTAGCTGGAAGCACTTTAAAAATTTGCCACTGCTTATTTGTCTGCCCTTCCCTGATGCATTGGATTCCTTTATATGCAGTTGTTTGTCTGCTCTGGCCCATGGTTTGTCCTCTCCCCTTCTCTCTTTCTGACTACAGCTTAGAGAATCTCTATCAATGGATTCTCCTCTAAGAGAAGTCTCCATCCGATTTACGAGCATCTCCGCACCAATCGGCTTTCTCCCATCTCTTAGTTTAAAAACTGCTCTACGGCCTTTTTAATGTTTAGTGCCAGCAGTCTGGTTCCACCCTGGTTTAGGTGGAGCCCATCCTTCCTGTATAGGCTCACCCTCTCCCAAAAGTGTCCCCAGTTCCTAATAAATCTAAACCCCTCCTCCCTACACCATCATCTCATCCACGCATTGAGACTCTGAAGCTCTGCCTGCCTACCTGGCCCTGCGCGTGGAACTGGAAGCATTTCTGAATGCCACCATAGAGGTTCTGGATTTCAATCTCTTTCCTAGCAACCTAAATTTGGCCTCCAGGACATCGCTCCTAGCCTTCCCTACGTCATTGGTACCTACGTGTATCACGACCACCGGCTCCTCCCCAGCACTACACATAAGTCTGTCTAGATGCCTCGAGAGATCCGCAACCTTCTCACCAGGCAGGCAAATGACCATACGGTTCTCCCAGTCATCACAAACCCAACTATCTATGTTTCTAATGATCAAATCACCCACTTCTAACACCTGCCTCTTCCTAACAACTGGCATTCCCTCCCCCTCAGAGATATCCTCAGTGCAAGAGGATACCTCAACATCCTTGGGAAGGAGGGTCCCAACTACGGGATGGTTTCCCTCTGTTCCCATTGAATGCTCTGTTTCCTTGAGACTTTCATCCTCTTTAAGAGCACTGGGGCTCTCAGACTGGAGGTGGGACAATACTACAGTGTCCCAGAAAGTTTCATCAACATATCTCTCTACCTCCCTTAGCTCCTCCAGTTCAGCCACCCTGGCCTCCAAAGCCCGAACTCAGTTAGCAGCTGTTACTTTTCTGGCTGGATATTGGTAGTTACAGATAATGGTCTAAATTTTACTATTTAAGTAAATTCAGAGTAACCAGTGTTACCTGTAAGCCGAGTGGCTGGGGGGAGGAGGGAGGCGGGTCACCCGGCGGGCGGGTCACCCAGAAGAGATTCAGGTGCCTTTCACCTGATTAGCATAGTGCCCATAGCCGGCAACGTTTCCAGTGGTGGTGCATATAACAAAACTTATTCAACCCATGACTAGAAAAAAAATATAGGGAACACTCGGAGTAGCCCCGTGTGTTTTAGTGCAGCTAAGTGGCTTAACAGAGCCACTCTAGGATACCATATCTTTATACTCTATGGGGATCACCATTTATTGAAGTGTTAGGAGTGGGGCCTAAATGACAAAGGTTGCTACCTGGGCCTTTGAACATAAATGATCATATGGCAAACAGCCTATTTTGTTCATTTTGTCTAGGATTAAATTCCTAAATGTGCACTAGTACACCCCTCCATTTATGTGGGCAGAAGGGAGGAACCCACCTTGATTGATGGCATTCTCCTAAACCTAGAGAACACATGTATTGCTAGGGCATTACAGGCTTGCAGGCAGCATGCCCGGGTGGATTAATGTAGTTCCTGTCCGGAGCATGTTTTCTTAAGTTCCCTGTTGTTTGGACCAGTATCAACTTCATGTGGCACGGGGGGTATTTGTGCAACTGCAGTGGTAGGGTGAGTAGGAGCAGGCTATACTCTCCTAGTAGAGTAGATTGATGGTGGTTGTGTAGAGTTCCAAATCTTGGAGGAACTCTGCAAGGGCTGGGTTTCTATTTACAACGAAGCCCTTGCCGAACCAGTTACACTGATTTCTTCCTCAAGTTGATGAGATGTCATACACTCTCCTCCAAAATACTGTATTTTTTCTCCTGTTCCAATGTGCTCCTCTTCGGGAGATGACATTTTGTTATATAGGCATTACTTAAACTGTTTGGGACTGAGTGGTTCCTACCTTTGTAGAAGTATAAATAAGGCCATGTCTCCACTTGCCATTCTGGAGCTCGATCATTCAAATTAGCAGGTCCCTTGGAGCTGCTTGCCTCCTCACCTTTGTGCTGCTGCCCCTTTAAAAGCTGGCTTTTTAAAAACTAAAGCAATTTCATCTCCAGCCTGTTCCTTGTATACCAGGGATATTTCCCACTGGGAAGAAACCACATGTGCATCAGTGAAATTAACTTCCTGTGTCCTCTATGGGAGGTGATCACAGAGCCAAATTCTACCCTGCCAAGTCCCATACAAGTGCACCCAAGTCCAGACTTGGGACTGCATGACACTTAGTGGCACAACCTGCCCTAGTGTGTGATTCACAAGCCCCACCTCAGGCCAATTATTGATTTCCAGGTGCAGCCAGAGATGCAGGGGTGTGAACTGTTAAACAGCTTGGCATGTGACTACTTCAGTGCCATGGCTGCTGAGTAGGGGTTTAGGAAGAGCAAAGCCTCCACAGAGACCCTGCTTTAAAGCTTTGTCCTTTTCATATGTGTTCATTTTTTTAATTGTATCCTTTGGTATATATGGCTGTGACTATTTTCTTCCACTATTTGATCTGAGGAAGTGGGTCTGGCCCACGAAAGCTCATCATCTAATAAACCATCTTGTTAGACTTTAAAGTGCTACATTGTCCTGCATTTTGCTTTCAAGGAGATTGCCTATCTCCTAGAACTGGAAAGGACCTTGCAAGGTCATTGAGTTTAGCCCCTACCTTCACAGCAGGACCCAGTACCGTCCCTGACAAATTTTTGCCCCCAAATCACCTCTGCAAGGATTGAACTCACAACCCTGGGTTTAGCAGGCCAATGCTCAAACCACTGAGCTATCCCTCCTCCCCCCTCCAGCCGGCGGGGAGGCGTTACCAGGTCTCTATGGTTACCAGGTCTCTATGGAAACAGCAGCGCTTTCCTAAGCAGCCGCCAGAGGGCGGCCTCCCGCAGCCGCAAAGCACCGCCGGGCCGTGCGCGCTGGAGTCGGAACACAGCCCGGGCCCGCCGCCACACGCGGCTTGTGGCCGAGCGTTTTCGCCTCGGGTGCGC